ACGGTGGTGTATATTATCTCACTGTTTTAGTATATACTAAAACAACTATTCACCTCAATGTCGGTGGTTGGCGGTGGATATTTACCTCGCCGCTTCGCGGCTCGGTAAATATCCACCACTAACCACCTCCACTTTGGTGAATAGTTGTTAATTAGCTTTATTAACAATTCTATCCCTTAACTTTCACCCCTTCTCCTCCCTAGACAATATTGCAATTTGTTTTCTGTGATTACACATCATTTCCTTGGGAAGGGGAGGGTGAGGGGGGTTTGTAGCCTGCTGTAGCTTATTCTAAATCGCTATGTGATTGTTACATGTATGTACCAACTAATGTTGTCTCTGTTTGTTTTCACAACTACTCTAACCTGGAAAATCACATTGCATGATCAATTGTTCAGTTCTGGTTTCTTTAACGTTCACTTTGTTTCCTGTTTTGCTACAAACGGTTGTAGGGGATTTACATTGCATTTAAAGACTTCTTGGTTAGGAAATGAAGGTTGCAGTAATGTCCTTCACAGGACACTCTTTTGCAGATGCCTAAAATTAGTGGTGAGAAGTTATATCAACTGTACATCAAACTCACCAATTTCTGGTCTACTTCCCCAGCTGTCACACCATATAAAAGAACATCACCTGATGAGGTACCAAGTGCTATTGAATTACTTGCACTCGAACTTTCTGACTGTCTTGAAGTCTTTGATTTCTTTCTTCTTTGAGTTGTCTGTTAAGATAAATATCCAGTTTTAACATTCAATCAACAAGAAAGTTGAAATACAAAATGTGGGTTGTCAGACCCACGAGAAATTGGTATTTCACAACAATTGAACCTGCAAATCAACATTAAGTACCTTGGATGTTGAAGAGGCCTTACAATTGTCTCTTTACTAGATAATTTATGATAATCAAGCCTTACTAATTGATTTACTGGTGAATGATATCTGGTCTAGATATGATCATATGAATTACACCATACCAACCCGTCTAAAACCAACGTCTCCTAATATGTACATGTGTTTCTACCAACACACACAACTGATGTTGTAACCAATACAATTCCGCTAAAAACTTAAACGTTGCCCTTTGTACCAAACGCTTCCATTACAACTGTTTATTGCACATAACACTCTAAACTGAACAACAGCGTGACAAAAAGTTCTAAATTACGACACAATTCATGGATAATGACGATAAGTCACACTCTACCACATTGCAATTTTTCTCGAACACTAGAAGATAAAGATTCTCAGTTTATTACTTTTCTGAGATAAAAGGCTCTATTCTGAATATATTTTGAGCGCGTCCTGTGGAAAGAAGCCTTCTAAATACTGTAGTATTACAAACGGAAATTCAGCTAAGTCAAAAATTGTCGACAGGTATTCGAATTTTCCACATCATAAAAAGACGAATTTGAATCGTATTTATAACAACTGACTTCTACGATTAATCTAAAAACCAAAAACTCGAAGCAGTACAGAATATTACATCGGTCTTAGCTCATTAACAACAGCAAAGAAGATAATTCTTTTCAAAAATACTCCGCGCACACGTACTCTAAGGACCATGCATGCTTACCACAAATCTCGAAGTTCGACTCCATTTTAAGCAAGTACAAGACGAAGAGAGGTGCGAAGGAGGAGTGTATTCATGCCTTAATGATCCAGCAGTACAGTCCCATATTTTTAGGCGTCCATCTGGGGTTAAAAGTGCTAAAGCACGGCCATTATTATCAAAAGCACATCCACTACCGTCCATATTTCATGGTTCCATTTGCACGTGGGACCAGTGATGTAGTACCCAGACTTCTAGCGAGCAATGGGAAAGAATGGAAGTGAAAGAAAACGAAGGACGACGAATTTGTTGAGTTGCAGGTTATTCGTGAGGCGGGTAACGTCAATTCATTAACAGCTAAAACTAGTTTGGATTTTTCTTCACTTTCTTCCTTGACTACAGGAGTGTTATATAGATTAAGCTTTGTGCTTTGTGAGGTGTTACCTCCTATGAGGCAAATTAAAACTGATGAAAATAAAATATTAACAGGAGCCCATCAGGAGCCCATACCCGATATTATTAAAAAAAAAAAAAGAAAAAGAAAAAAAAAAAAAAGGAAGGCCGTCTAGATAGTTAGAAAAAAATTCTTTGACAGTTACACTCACTAACTTGGATTAGTTTTACCTTGGATTAGTTTTACCTACTCCAAGTCGCAATACTGGAGATCTTGGTCGCCATCCACGTGACAGTTTGTTCCGTTTGTCACCTGTATCGGAACGGGATCTCGTCGAGATCCTGTCTTAGAGTTTCCTGGAATCAAATTGGGATAACGCCCGGGTGGGAGCGTAGCTACGAGGCTGTCCTGGCGCACCCTTTTTCATTTTGAGATATTTTTGTTTCTACGTCAATAATGTTTAAATCTACTTATTCAGGTGTGCACAAATGCGTGAATCCGAAGAATCTAAATAGCACAAATATTTTCCTGTCTCGCCGCGATGAATAAGAGCCTACAGATACACAAGGAAATGCAGCGACATAATCCACTTCACGCAAGGCGCGCGGAGATTCGTGAGTGTGATCCCTCGTTTTCAAAGCAAGTCCCCAGCTGGGTTACGAGATAGCTCTTGGATCAGTGACTTTAAGTCTTTCCCAGGATTGCCTTAAGATGCTAATTCAGGATCTTTCCCGGAATCCTGTCGGAAGCTCAGATATTTTCTGAAGTACCATTTCTCACCTTTTCTTTAGAACAGATTCACAAATCAGCACAATGGCATTTAGTCTGTGAGGTTTCCTCGCGTGTCATCAACTTCACTTTATTCGTTAGTGCCTAGAAGCTGGCTGTCAGATTTAAGTCAGAGTGTTCACAGTTAACTGATTCTCACAGTATTTGGTGTTTATATCTGTTATCTTGTAAACTGTGATTCGCGCCGCATGGGCTGTTAATGGTTCTATTTTGCCTTTCACCCTAACATCAGCATGCACATTTTCCAGACTGTTCTCTATACATTTCCTGAGTACTTACAAGGATAATTTGTCTAAAAATCAAGACATTCTTGAGTTGAAAATGATTTTCTTTATTGTGATGCTGGGAGAATTCTAAGATGCTTGTCGCTGTTATGGCCTTTGAGTTAACATACGAATGTAAGCAGTAAATGGAGTTTAATCACGTATAGCGTATAGTAGCTATTGCTACTCAACCGAAAGCCTTTGAACAACAATTTTAAGTGTAGTACTGTTCGGTCTGTTCGCTATGATTTACCAAATAGTCATAACATTTAAGAGATCTCAAGAGTAATTACCGAGAAGTGCTTTCATAGGGTTCTGTTCGATGTACTTGCTGAGATCAAGCGATTAATTCCATTCCTCTAATTCAACTGTACTTTATTCAATAATCAAGATGATATATTTACCGTACAATACTCGTAATCAGTTATTTTACTTTCAATTAGGACAGTAGATTTACAGCATAATTGGAAGTTAGGTTACAGTAACGTACGCTATGTGACCTTTTGTAACGCAATACACCACATACTGCATAAAATGGTTTTGACTTGAAAACGGGGGGTGATAACACTAACAAACGCTGTTTTGGGACAAAGCCAAAATTGTTCCGGGAATCTGGAGATTTCTCCGGGAATCGGGACACTTGGAAATTTTACCGGGAAACACGCGATAATTCCGAGACATTGCAGAAAAAAATCGGGACATCGAAGGAATTTTTATTTCATGTTTTTATTTACGTTAAACTCGGTAAGTTAGGCAAGAAATCTTCAGTCTGTAAATGAAAACATTCAAACAGCGAGTGCAGCGCCGCGGCTTGTGGTTTACACAAACCAATCAGAAACGCACCCTACTGGGAGGGCACACAGTTGGGTTCCACACTCCATTCAACCACGTGCAACCTTCACAGCAGTCACATCCAGATCCGTTTCAGGTATAAACGTATCAAACAAGGTTCCGTGTATGGTTAGCGACGGTTTTTAATTTATTCCTCGCTTTGTGAGCATCAGAAACAAGTTTGGATTCAAAAGGCGAAAAGAGCAAGCTTAGGCTATAGCGATCATGGCACGACCAATAAAATGCAGTTTGAAGTAAATATCCTAATGTTATCCGGATGCTTTAATAATAATAATAATAATAATAATAATAATAATAATAATAATAGAACTACTTATATAGCACTTATCCAGACTTGATCTAAGCGCTTTAAAAAATAGAAATATACATATTGAATTAATTTTTAAAAAGTAAGTCAGTTTACGTTAACAGAGATTTAAATATTTCCAACTTTACGTGTATTACTGTTGTAATGCTTAGCAAAAGTACTGTTTTCGCTTTTTATATCAGGTGGGAAGTCATTTGAGAAATGGGAAGTCGGGGATGTATGCGCCTGGCTAACGCAAAACATGTTAAGCCTTGGTCAAACGGCGCATGATAGTCGATGATAGTTGATTCTCTTCAAACTGTCATCAACTATCACCAACTATCACTCGCATGGTCAAACGGCCAAAAAAGTTCGTGATAGTTGATGATAGTTCACCGGCAGTCGCGCGAGCAAAGTCACGCGAGCAGCTAGTTCCAGGCTCTTTCCGCGTAAAATGTGAACTAACATTGCTTCCCGTGAGACAAACAAACTTGTTGAAGTATGAATGTACGACGAAAGAGGGCGGCAGCTTGCTTAATAGTAATCGATTTGTTGGAGGAATGTACGTCTATTAGACGTAATATCAGGTCATTACTCCATCTCGCCGTTGAACGTTTAGTGAAACGTTGTTTTTTCGGCGGTGTCCGGCTTCGAATTCCTGCGAGTTGACGCTTTCTCCAGATCCTTGGTTTTCAATATTTTCTTTCTCATTATTATTATCTTGGGTATAAAAACGAATTTCTGAAGCTAAAGCTGAGCCTCGCGAGGAGCTTTTGGCGACCATTTTAAACGAGCCCGCCGATTTTCGGGGAAAACAGCTTACAAAAAAACTATCATGAACTATCATCCGCGTGGTCAAACGAGAAAAACTATCATCGACTATCATGAAGAATTTCAACAAGCTCAAAATGAATGATAGTTGGTGATAGTCGATGATAGTGCATGATAGTTAGTGAAAGTCGATAATAGTGCATGATAGTTGGTGGTCAAACGGAAGCGCGCACTTCAACTACCATCGACTATCATCGACTATCATGTGCTGTTTGACCAGGTCTTGAGAGGAACATTGTGGATGTTTCAGGGAAAATAAAGTGCGTGGGAGCACACTTCTTTGATGGAACTCTAAAAACGGACCTCAAGGATATCGGAGTAAAGCCTCTTGGTAAGAGTTCGCATTTTATAATTTAGTTCTGCGTCAGTTCTTATGAAATTCTCATAAACTCTTCTCAGAAAAAACAATTATGCTGCAAAACGTTGCTGATAATAGGCCTTATCACGGTTTTCGGCGCCATCTTGACGGGTAGGCAAAGCGGTCAGAAATTACAGTGTTTGTATGGGAATCCTATGGCAAATAACTTTTCCCAAAATCGAATTTTACGCAATTTATGAATCGCAACGCTAGAACACTGAGCAGAAGATTGTATTCACTAAGTTTGAAGGATATGTAGCTTGGCTAAGACGCGCTCAATTAATTTTTCTAATTTTCCATACATTTGTCTGTAAATTTTCGCAAGGTAGAAGGGGCGGCACGGAAAAAAAATTACATACAAAATGTATGAAAAATTAGAAAAATTAGACACATTAACTAAGCGTCTTCTATCCAACCTACATTCTTGTACATTCTACATTCTTGCGGCATACGCTGATGAAACTATTTAACAAATAAATGCCTCTGCCAGCAGGGTAAACTTTCGTGTGGTACTTTTCATTAAATTCTACAAGGTGACTCTCACTTTTTAGCGTGTGGGTAACCCTTATGTAGGCTTTTTAAATAACGTTCGAACAGCACTTGCTTCAGTATTGGTGCTGTTTTTCAAGCTCCTCAAGATACTTCTACTGGCGATACACCCCTCGTGTTTAACATTTCAAACAGTAAACCTCAATATCGAGCAAAGCCTTCGTGTGCGTTCTTCTTACAAAACCTTCAAGACTGAACTTATGCACTGTCAGGATTTATGCGATGTTAGAAATGTCAGCGGTCATTGAAGGGGAAAGAAATAGACCACCCGCACTCTGACGCGTTTTCGCGGGTTGCTAACGAGTGATGATTGTTCGATATCACCTCAGATATCACCCCTTCGGTAATTTAATAAAACGAACATCTCTTGTCAAATGTCTAGTAATGATTTGTTTGACGTGTATCAGAGAGATAACCATTGTTGGGTCGATTGCTATTCAAACTTTTTCAATGGAAATTAAATTCCCTTCGAAATTGTTTACTTAAAGTCGCTTTCTAATACAGAGCACATTATGGCAAGTTTTGTAACAAAAAGGATCTGTGGTGATCATGTTGCACGTGTTATCAAATTTGCACTCAATCAGCGTAGCCTCGGTCAGTGTAACATTTTCTCTCTATTTAGAGCGAGAAATAGAGAGCGATCCTGTGTGAGAAGGTCATCAAATCTTTGATTGGATTTGCTCTTGAAATAAGCCTTTGTTATTAGGAGTTTTCAATTATTGATAAGATAAAATATTGTAGTGAAAATGGTTGCCCTTGTTGACAGCTTAATGGAAATGTTCAGAATCAATCAAGCGCTTTGCAAACAAACTTCGACTCTGCTCTCACGGACTGAATTTGACAGAACAAAGAAAAACCTTTCTGGCATGCTGTCTATGTACCGTGCAAACGGCAAGGTAGAAAAAAATTCTTAAATAAATTTTCCAGGCAATGTTTCAAGGACTTGTAACGTTTTGTGGTTTCGATGTTCACACGTTTCAAGTGTTTCACGCTGATAGAATTCGCGCAGTGTGTGCCAAGTTTACGAGCTGTATGTCGGTTTATAATGGATATGTGTAAATGTAAGCAAAGCTTAAAAGGAAAATTGAGCCTTCTGTGAAAGAAAGCCGACCTGATCAAACACAGATGGGAACGTAAAATTCTGTCATGTCGCAAAAACTCTAACAAACGCAAGAAAAACGATTTGACGAATATTACTTGCAGTCTTCCTTCCTCAGGAAACTCCCGAGGTAAGAATTGGCTTTCAGGGTTTTATTTTGTGGCCATCAGATCGAATTAGAATCAGCTTATATAATCCGTGTACTCATCTGCCGCTAATAAAAACTGACAAGAGTATGTATTATGTGTAAATATACTTGAACTAAGTAAAAATCACTGATCTCAAATCAATTTACGGAGAACTATGCCACATGATAAACACGGAGTGTAATCTGAACGACCACATTGAAAAGGTAAACCATGGCGAACTCGAGGCGCGAGGACAACAAGTTGGACAAAGATATCAAACAGAAAGGACAACATGGCTCTTGCAAGCCCTACCTTGCATTTTCAATTGATAATATTTTGCGAAGAAAAGAAGAAACCGCGCTAAACACAACGCATGTTGTCCACGCCGGGAACAAAGCATACACAACGAGATCAGCAGAAATTGAAGTCCGGCAAGGGCCACCTAAAAAAGAAATGGTAAATTCGACGAAAATTACCCATTTACCTTGGTTGGCATATACACGCTACTCACCGCCTAAACTTCCAAGTGAGTGTTATTTGTAGATATAGTTTTGGCATATTGAAAGGTATCGATGCGAACGCTGTTTTGCATGATGATTTGGGAAATGGCACTAACAAAATAGGGTTGTCGTTCAGGTGATTCAATTCGTTTAGCCGGCATGTGGCTGGCGATTTGAGCGATGAAGTATTCAGTTCCCTCCAGATAGCTTCGGTCCACATCAGTCTCTGGCTACCTTTAAGTTAACTTCCTATATCAAATAAAGTATGAATGTAAGTACTTCTTTTGAAGTCTTTGATAAAGATAATTAATTGTAACGAGGTATACTCTGGTTTACTAAAAAGGTGGTGAGTTCAGTGCACTTTTGTTATTAAATATAAGGAGAAACCTTTAGCCGGATCTTTCCGGTTTGAAACTAAACTTAAAAGCTTTAGGGAAGGAAAATATATTACTAACTATGCTAACAACAAGCGAGGTTCAAAGGAAGGATTCCTATTCGTTCATAACAATTTTTAAACTGATTTTACGTTCTCTTGTGGGTTTGTAATCTGATGTTTGTAACAGATAAACAAAAAGCCTGTCAAACAATTCAATGGTTGAAAGTTTGGTTTTAAATCGGCTTGCGGTTGAGTACTTGAACATTGAACAGTGGCAAACTACAACATATATATGACAGGTTTAGAATGAGTACTATATAACGCATTGAAATAAAGCCCTTGTTATGCAGGGTCAAAGAGAAGACTCAACAACAGCAAACGTCGTTCAAGTGGCTGTCCTCGGGTGCCATTCTCCACTTCACAGCTGATGACCTTAGAGCAAAAATACACAGAAAATCACTATCTGTCTGGAAAACAAGTCACCGAGCTGGCGCGCAGCTTGGACTTACCACAACATCGAATCAAGATTTGGTTTCAAAACCGACGCGCGAGAGAGAAACGTAACCAAGAAGAAAGTTCGATTAACAGGATGGATGAGCGGCCAACAAATTTCTCGGAACAGGTTGAGTTAAATACGCAGTTAACAGCTTGTTTTGCGCCTCTTCCACTGACCTCAAACTTTTCCATGGACTGGTTTGGTTTGGGCAGCCACTCACACTATGAAATGCTTAATAAGTATTTCAACATGGGTGAGAACGGGCCCGAAACAATGGGGACATTTCCCTTCAGCTGAAGGAACGTGAAAATAAGCTTTCGACCAACGTTAGGAGGCCAGAGACTTTAAACAACAGGCATGCTTTCCGAGCTCTCCGCTTTGAGCTGAATAGTATTTTATTTCGATCAATGCTGCAAGTCGAAAGAAACTTATAGCTTTTATCAAATTAAGTATCGTGTTTTACTGTAAGATGACGATTTTATTTGCGGTGAGTTGATATATGTACCCCTGTTAGGTTTTTCATTCTTAATTATCATGTAATGAATTAAAATATGCAAGTTTCTTTTCATTCTGTGTAAAACTCTAGCCACAGCATGTTCACGCAAAGAAAAAGTAACGCAAAAAAAAAAAAAAAACGGTGAGTTTTTGCTCTATTCGATTTAAATCGTCAGTTAGGTGCAACAAAAGCAGCACCAAGTCAACACTAATGAGAAATCTGCCAACCGACGCACGTTTCATGCGTGTGGTCTAAATCAAAACTAGTTTGCAAGTCCTTTTGTTATTGCAGTTGTAATTTCTCCGAGGAGGTAGCAAATTTCTCCCAAAGAAAAATTGTTTTTTCTGTATGTCCCCCAGCAGCCGTGTCAGAACAATGATGTTAACCATGACATGCAAAAAGCCTCCCTTTGTATTAATAAACCCTATGTAAACTTCCAATCTATAAAGTGAAAGGTGCATGATTAGGGTCCGTTTGACAACGACCCTATGCTCTCAGATTTTTTGGATGCCATATGTTCGCATGAGTACGACTTGAGTGAAGGATAGTTGACATGCCAAATCCTTATTCATTTTGTTGATGTGGGGGGTGATTTTCGTGGTTTATAACTGTTCGCTGGTAAAAGCCTTTTTTGGAAAGACGCCAGACATGAACTTGACAATACACTTCCACGAAACTAGAAAGACGTTTAGTGGGGTAATCTTAAAAAAGTAGATATCGTATAGAAACTTCAATTGAACCTCAAACTTGGCATTAACGTTGAAGACTGGGGTTTTGGGAAGAGGCTTGACTTTTCAGTCTTTCCGTAAAATCTTCAAGTTTTTTTGCTTTTTTAAATGAAAAGTCCACAGATACTTGTCTATACTCATAATGCCTCGTCGGTGATTCAGGGAAGTGGAGTGTTTGATTCCACTCATGGAAAGGAAAGTAATCAGCTCACCACAAAATAGTATGCCCATCACACAGAAGATGCGATAGTTGAAAATATCCTTTTGTTATGTTAATACTTTCAAGGTGGGAAGTGTAGTCAGCTCGAGAGAGAACAATACACTGAATAGCATAAGTGCTTTTTCATTTAACCTTTTTCTTTTCGTGTGCCCTATGAAGCTTAAAACTGAACCCAAAACCCTCTTCGTTAACTGCGTGAAAGTAGTCGCATGGAACGTACGAATGTCGGCAATCGAGTGCTCATTAAAATCATTTGCCACTGGAAAACATGACGAAGATTTTCATTTTGGCAGTTAGCTACTGCAAATGATTTATTATCACAGCCCTGGTAGACTTTTCATTAATTACGATAATTGCTTTTCTAATGGATGAAGTAAGACTGTTTGTTCAAGTGCCGCGCGGCCCACCTTTGAACATGTTCATTCTTTTCATAACAGCTCCACAATTGAATTTTCCTGAGTGCTTCTTACGAAAAATTGTACCATGGTTATGTAATTTTCAGACGGCACGCTCGGGTTCTTGAGGCATTCACGCACTTTTATTGACTCACGGAAGTCTTTTGGGTTCACCGTTCTTTTTCCATGCAAGAGGAAACCGATATACTGGAAACCCCGGCTTCAAATTTTAACCATTCGCTTCCTAACGTTTTATTTCCCTGTTACCTTTATTTCAGTTGTTTATTTGTATTACTTTTTTATTGTTCAACGACTATTCTTAGTATTGTTCTGTCCTGTTTTCTTTTGAAATAGGGATTTTAATAATTTTTTCTCTGAAAGTAACCACGGTTTACAACATTAGGAAAGACTGCACATGCATGACCTCACAAAATTCTCACAACTGAAAAAAATTTAACCTCAATTATGCTATCCAGATCCATGTTCAAGTTATTTATCCGTACTGATTTTATTCCTTTTCGTTTCTCATCATTTTATTTGGTGTTTTAAACTTAAGACTAAAAAAAAAAAAAAAACCCTATAACTCTATGAAGACGCCCGTAACTTAGAACATTGATGGACAGTTCCTTCGTGAAAATTGCAGCTTTCAAAAAAAGATTTACTATCTTTCTTATTTTAGCTAATGGCATGACGCTTTGATAATACTGGTCCACGCAGTATGAAGGAGACTTGTCATTTGTGAACTTAACACTGAATGACTAAAGCTTTCCATAAGTATCTTTGCCTCTATGGTTGAGGTCTGAGGTTCGCCTCTCCGTAGGCGACTTAAAATTGTTTCGTTTTCCACGCTTGTTCAAGACGAATAGCAACTTTCTTCCTTTTTTTGTGTCCTTACTAGTCAGCGTCATAACTAATTTAAATTATCCATCAAAGTTCTCTAGAGTCAGGTTACTGTGACTTGAGGCCGGCAGCAGTGTTACAAAATGCGCTTATCTACAAAACACACAAAAAAGGCAGCTTTAATCACCCGCTAAATAACTTGATAATGAAAACCGGAAAACATTACATGATAGGCTTATCTGCTTCGGTGTCGATCAATCTACGGACAAGGAACGTCGCCCCAAGTTGTTTACGACTCCCTCAGGTGATCCAATGTACCTCTCAGAGTATCAGTGCAAATTTTTAATTGTTAGACAAATAACCGTGCGCTCTTCATTGCCGAGGAAGCAATTACCCATCAGTTTTGTCATAATCATTTTGTATATCACTCTTCTATTGGGCTCTTTAACTGGTTGAAGTATTTCTCACGGCTTAATGATCTCCATTTAAAGCTAATCAATAAAGCGATGCCGCTAACTAATGAAGTTTCATGATTTTGCACTCTTACTTTGAGTTAAACCGCGTCCCTAACACATGATATGATAACTGTGGCTGCAGATTACTTACGGGACCTAAACGGGTGAAGGGCCGGAGTATGAAAGTCACCCCCCCCCCAAACGAGACTTCATAAAAGTCCCCCCTGGGATACTAGCTCTTCTTGCGCAGGGAATACCCTTCGAATCTGCCATGTTAGCATGTGTTCTGCTCCCGGGATTTGACGCGACTTGAAATTTCATTTAGCTTATATAAACTGCGGTTCTTTTTTTTCTTTTTTTTTTTTTTTTAATTGACCACGTGGTATCATTCAAGTACAAAGTCCGGCCATGTTGTTTGAAAAGTCAGAGTGACGTTCAAAGGATCACCATAGATTATCTTTTTGGGCTGTACGACGCTGATTTTTCCTTCCTTCTTTTTTTTCCTTTTGCAATCGTATTTTGTATAAAGGAATTTGATTCATAGGACACGTGTACTTCTGCTTTCTCCAAAAACCGGAAATACCTGTTCATTCATTGAAATACCCCGCACAAAAGCAACACTTCATGGGTAGAATGACACAATTCCCGCCACATCACTTGTAATTGTTTTTCTTATAGCTTAGCTTAATCAAGACGCTGCCAGTTTCCCTAAACAAAACACATTAATCCCTCTTTGAACAAAGACGGAACTATGGCACTGAAAAGATTTGTTCAAAAGACAAAAGTGGAAAGTTTCTCTTTCGTTAGCATAATCGTAACGTAGTTTATTTGATATTCGCTTACCGGTAAGATTTGGACCGAGACGAGAACAGAATTTTTTAATTGCAAGGTACTCGAACTGATTGACACACATCGCTTCACCCTTTTCGATTATTCCACTGACAAATCACCTGAGGCTTCCGAGGTTTATTTCGAGATGTTAGAATAACTTCTAATTGAATTAATTTGTACAGCTCTTTAGAATTCAATTGCCGTCGATAATGTACTCTACAATTTCATATTTCGATGGGAAATACTGTCCGTGAGAGGAAGCAATGTACAGCACATATCCTGTAGCCTTTGCACTGACATCTGACATGTTTGAATTGAACACACAGTCTGAAAACTTGTGTATTTTTCTTTAGCTTCTGAGCATCTGCCGTCGTGCTTTGTTTTACGCTTATTAGACTTATTAAAATGATTATTGCTCCTCTTTAAATTGAGCCGGTTTTATGTTACCAAGGACTTGCCACAAAAACTAGAGATGTCTTGTCAGTCAAACACATGGTTTTCTCATATTTTACATTTACTGCTTTTTTTTTACATACGAGAAAGCTTTTGAAGATTTCTTGTGAAGGAATACCTCAAGAACTGAACCCGTTGTTAGGATACGACGAGAAAATGTTCATAAAAACAAGGTGACTTGTACAAGTGTTTGTCACTCCATGACAACAAATTATTAGTATTTCCACAAGGCATACAGCTTACTACAAAACTTCCGATTTTGTTTATTTAAGCTGGGCAGTCTACTGTTCACAATTTGCGGATTTGTTTGCCTTATTCTCTGTCGAATGAATTTATTATCTTTTTACCGCTAAAATCGAATTTCCCTACTCATTAATAAGCTTTCACATTTTATTTCCCAACTCCATCTACAGTAATTAATTACGTTCAAGTTTTTGTTGCCAATTAAATTTGAGAATTGTGTTTTAATCGATTTCGTTGGTCATTTGGATCACTGCTCAATCATTTTTGAATTCATTTTTGAATGGGTATTCAAAGATCTGTAATTTCCTCGTATAGGGAGTTACTTAAAACATTTCTACGTTTGGTTTAAAACAAATACTCAAAACTGTTTCCAGTACATCGCCATAAATCCTCGAACAAAGACCTTTTCTTTTCCAACTAAGTAGACAAATCTTATATGAGTTGCGCTTATTTTCAAGGGCTGATAATTAAGACTTGACAAGCTCAAGTGTCTTACAATGTCTTTTCTCTCGGTTAATAAATTACTTCATTCGAGACCGACGTGAAATGAACAAACACATTTTAAACAAAATCACCCCATATCCGTAAGCTTGGATGGGGATACAATTTGATTTCAGTGTTGAAAATGACACGGTGAATACACCCATTTGCTTTACGGATATGACTGGGGCTGTTTTCGATGTCTTCTTAATAATACGATAAAGGGTTTTATCAGCGTAATCCCGGATTAAAACGATATATTCAAGTTTAGTTGACAAGTGAACTATTCACTAAGAGTAGGGATTTGTCAGGAGCACGTATAAACCTGACAAGACACGTCATTGTCGAGATCAACGTCTTTATAATAGAATCTGAATTGAAACTTCCTGTGGAGAATGCGCCGGTAAACAGCTTAGAACTCTGTGCAGCTTTGTCTCCGAGTTAAGCAATCCGCCAGCACTCCTCTTGGGACAAATAAGTGTCTTCAGTCCATCCTGAGAAGAACAACCCATGGAGGATAGAATTAGCGATTCTGAAGATAACAGTTCTTTGCAAGCGCCCCCAGCGGCCAAACCATACCTGTCTTTCTCGATAGAGAACATATTAAGCGAAGGAAAATTTGGACCGAGAGCCAAGCGAAGCACTGAGTACGCCCCGAAGTGTGATGGCTCAAGGAAACCGTCTATGCAGACGCTACTTTCACGCCTACCTTGGCTTGCGTACACAAGGTACTGTCCGCCGAAAATCCCAAGTAAGTAAAAGTAATTTAAGTGCATGAAAATATAACTGAACCTGTGAAGCTGATGTACTTCTCATATGAAGTTCACCATCGTGTTCTCCGTGTAGCGTAGTTAGCAGGAGCAACCCGCCGCGGTGAAATAGGAACATGACGAGGTTTGATTCTTCACGGAGCATTCAGACTTGAGTCTTTGTCCCACGCTAGTTGTCAAAGCCTTTTTTTCATGTTGATCTGTCCACCTTCCTCCGCGTGTTATCCATCCATGTTTAAAAAGATAGGTTGAGTTAGGAGTTGAGGTTTTTGTTGTTGCAGCTGGTGATTATTACACCTTGCTGTAAGGGTAAACCAAAAGACTTCATTCTAAATCGCCCTAGTTACTTACTTTTCAGAACATTGATCTGAGGTTTATCCCTCATCAATGCACGTGGATACAATGACAGATTTTGTTCAGTTGCGGTAATCTTCTTTAACCTTGCCTAATCAAACCGTTCGCGGAGGACTTTATACTTTTCACTGATTGAACGCTAAAATCGGGCAAAGTAAACGAAAAAGACCGTGACTTTTTCGTGAGATAATTTAAGTATCTTTCACTTAACTTTATTTTCTTTATTTACCTCGACTATAACATTCTTTCTAAAATGCGATTTTGTCAGATAAGCCACTTACTTGTACTAAAAATTCCAAACTTCCAGCTAAGTTTTACATCAATACTCATGAAATTCATTGAGTAGGCGAACGTTTTTAGCTACACAAAGATCTATAGTGTTTCTCTCGGCATTTAGAAGGAAGCAGCTTGGAAACAGTTCGCTGGATAGGTAAATCAGGTTACTGTTTCTCGTGTTTGGCTGTCACTGAAACCCCTGTCTTAAGACTGGAAAAATGATTCCCTTTACTTATTTCAAACCAAAATCTGAAGAGGAAAGAAGAACTGCTTAGAACTATCAACAGTGTCCATCGAAGCCAAATCATATGCATTAAGAGTAAGAGCGAATCATTCTGTTATTTTAGTGGTGAAAGTAATACATGTATTCTCCTTAGTCTAGTAAGCAATATCTTAATTTTGTGGTACGAAGCTTGTAGTCCAAAAAAAAAAAAAGTAATTCAGCTTGAAAAGCAGCATAGTTCTCTGCCCCTTCCACCCCAAACGAAAAAAACTAATAAACTTACATTTTTCAAGAGGCATTAATGAACATTTTACCTTTCATTAATAAAGAAAAAACCGAAAAGCGGTTTCTAAATTAAAAACCTTCTTAAGGCTTTATTAAGTATGACTTTGCGGCCTCAAATTATAATTTTCTTCCCCAAGAATTTCATTTACAGATCCTGATGGAAAGCAAGAATCGTGTCAGTCTTAAAGGGATTGAAAAATTTTTGATTCAGTTTGAAGTATGGGCTCTTTATTTCAAAAAATGATTAACCTAATTCTGTTTTTCTGTGCTCTTTGAGAACAAGTTAACGATTTCCTATCTCCAAACAATAGGTTTTTCAATGACGTTAAGACCTTAATCTCTATCATTACGTTTTATTATCACCCAGTTGTTTGAAATTAACAGTCTTTATTTAAACTAATTTCTTTGACGACGTGTTGTATATTCCTTTCATAGTTTACTATCAACTGTTTGACAAGTGCGAAAAGGGTGCGGTACTTGGGTCACTTGGGGAAGCCATACGGATTGCATTTTTTCCGTTCTCCAATTTCGATTCTTTCGGCTACACTCTCTCCAGTCCACCAAGCCAGCCAGTTGGTCTGGATTACGCACGCTTCACACTTTGATCTATTTACAGCAATCCATCATAACACTATTTCTGATCTGTGTTCTCGTTTCTTTAAATTAAACTTCAAAACAGTAAGATACTTTTGTTTTGTAGCATTCTAGCCAGAACACGTGTCGCCTTCAGGTGGTCCGCCATGCGATTAAATGATAACTGGCCTGCATAAAAAAGAGGAGCAATTTTTAATCATCTGATTATTGTTTCGAGCGTAATTTGGACGTTTTTAAAGATTGCTTTCTCTTGAATTGAGTTCTGTGGCATTAAATGACCTACCAGTCGGGAGATTTATCGACATCCAAGATACGATTTAATAAGTTGTCACATATAAACCTCGTATGCGGCCTTGCTTCGTGAAAAATGCTTGTAGTTTACTTGGTAAAGTTTATTCGATCTCATTTCTATAGTCAGAAAATCTTTGGTTAGGATCCTGATATGTGACCCGCGCTTGTTACAAATCTTTAACCCCCTTTTTGTTTTCTTCTAAAATTGGGACTGTAGTGACAATGAACAGATTGCTTCCTCCAAGGCCGCCTTTCCTCTCGAACATCATCTCGCAGGTTCAAGAAATTAAATACATGAGATCGCCTTGAGAGATAAACCTATTTTATTGCATTCCTCATCATAAAGCCATCTGTCCATCAGTTGGTAGAGCATCCATCCATAGAACCAAAAGGCTTAGTCCTAAAGGGAAATCATGTTTCTTCTAGTCTCAAGCCATTGGCAAATGCATGTTTAATATATTTCCTTAGTTGAGACTGTATCTGCCATATATATGGTAAGTTGGTATTGCACCCACCCGCGAAATCAGGTCAAGAAAAGTTTGAAATCCCCAATGGGGGATAATATTTCTTCTTGACTCAACTCAGTTACAAATATTAAAGATCTTTCTTTAGTTGGGATCATTTCATCTTTTGTCAAGCCAGTCACAAATGTTTAAGATCTTTCTTTAGTTAGGACAATTTCATCTTGTCTCAAGCCAGTCACAAATGTTTAAGATCTTTCTTTAGTTAGGACAATTTCATCTTGTCTCAAGCCAGTCACAAATGTTTAAGATCTTTCTTTAGTTAGGACAATTTCATCTTGTCTCAAGCCAGTCACAAATGTTTAAGATCTTTCTTTAGTTAGGACAATTTCATCTTGTCTCAAGCCAGTCACAAATGTTTAAGATCTTTCTTTAGTTAGGACAATTTCATCTTGTCTCAAGCCAGTCACAAATGTTTAAGATCTTTCTTTAGTTAGGACAATTTCATCTTGTCTCAAGCCAGTCACAAATGTTTAAGATCTTTCTTTAGTTAGGACAATTTCATCTTGTCTCAAGCCAGTCACAAATGTTTAAGATCTTTCTTTAGTTAGGACAATTTCATCTTGTCTCAAGCCAGTCACAAATGTTTAAGATCTTTCTTTAGTTAGGACAATTTCATCTTGTCTCAAGCCAGTCACAAATGTTTAAGATCTTTCTTTAGTTAGGACAATTTCATCTTGTCTCAAGCCAGTCACAAATGTTTAAGATCTTTCTTTAGTTAGGACAATTTCATCTTGTCTCAAGCCAGTCACAAATGTTTAAGATCTTTCTTTAGTTAGGACAATTTCATCTTGTCTCAAGCCAGTCACAAATGTTTAAGATCTTTCTTTAGTTAGGACAATTTCATCTTGTCTCAAGCCAGTCACAAGGGTTTAGGATCTTTCTTTAGTAGGGACTGTAGTTGCCGACAATCGGAAGGGACTAATTTTTTTATTCTTGTCCTAAGCTTGTAACTAAAGTCTAAAAAATCATCGTAGAAATCGTAAAAATCTAAAGAATAGAGTAAAGTAGCCAAGATACAATTAACAGGAAAAGATGTCTTCTCCGTCTTGTCACA